CCTTTCCTTCCTTCATTTTGAGTGTCATGTATTTGTCCCAGCAACGAGAGAAGAGTAACTAAGACAACCGCTTACTCGGCTTCCAGCCGTATCAGCGAGAAGTTTTTCAAGTTTCCCATGCGACTTTTCAACATCAGAAGAGTCATGACTCGGAAAGAAGTGATTTGGATTTTTCCTGTCTCCAAAATATTTATCAAATCCTGTACTTCTCACAGGCTTTTGAAACATGTAAAAAATAAGTGAGAAATATTCCAGTGAATGAAACATAACAAATGTCAGTAATAAGTGACATTGCTTTAGGGAAATGGCTGTTTAAAAAAAAAAAATCCAGTCTGTATATGCAAAGTAAGCAAGGAAATTCAGTCTTTTTTCTTCTTTAAAAATCTGTTACTCCTAAAATATCGTTCCACAAAATTGGAAGTGAAGGACTGAAAGGTCAAAAGAAAGAGGAAAAAGGAAGGGGGACACACACCATCAACACAAAAGAAGGAAAAGTGTACAAACTGAAGCAGTTTGTAACAGACTGGGGTCACACTCCCAGCCACAGAAGGCTTGCTGAAGAAATTCACCAGTCCACAGGACCTGGGATCTCTTGGTGGAGCTGGGTGAAGAGCGATTCACTGCCGCGGAGCAATCCCCCTTCCTACTCCAAAGCCAGGCTTCTGCACCATTCCTCCACGGGGAGGGCCTCTCATGCCACCACCCAGCCCACCTCGGGGACCTCCAGGTCCCTGCAGGCGGTTGTCTCGATGGTCCCCTTCCCTGGCAGCACGAGTCTTCTTCTCTTCCACATTCAGATGGACTTCACCTCTGAACATGATGGGCCTGTTGCTAAGGACCTTCTGCACAGGCTCAAATCATCAAACATGACAAAGCCAAAATTGGGTAGTTTCCCACCGCTGTTAATGCGCAGCTCCACCACATTCCCATAGTTTTGAAAGAAATCTTTGAGTTCTGATTTGTCCACCTCATGAGGCAGGTTCCCAATAAAGAGCTGGTGGCTGTCCGGATGTCTCACAATTCTCCGAGGTTCAACGTCACCCTGCTCCCCAGCTTCACGAATTGGCCTGGGTCCCCTCTGGGGAGGAATATTTATTCGTTGTTCTCTCACTCTTGGATCCCTTTGGGGTCTCTGTGGTGGAATCTGAGATTCAGGTTTAGATTCTGGACGCGGCTGTGAT